CTCAGTGAGCGCCGTCGGCGACGTTCCGCACATTTGATCATCCAAATATGTTACCAGGATGGCATTATTACCCGGATGTTAGGATGGCTGTGGCGAATTGATTCCCGGATACAAGTGCTTTCGAACAAGCGGAACTTTATATGTAGCACTTATCTTTCCTCCGCTTCCCGAGCTGGAACTATTCTCACGAGTGATAATAAATACCACGTGATTTTTAGCCAGTCCGAGTGGATTTCTCGAAGTAAACTTGAGACACGACGTGTTTTGGTCAGCCGCTTTGTCTGTTCCCGTCGTGTCGCACTCGCAGTCGATCACTACTTGCGGACACATCTTTGCAATGCTCACGGGGGAAAAACTCAACCGAGTGAGTCAAATCGGCTGCCTTGCGTTTACACACAGCCTCTATCCAATAGTATCCCCCACTGAAAGCTTCGTGCCATTTCGACAAATAAATATGCAAAGCCGCAGCAGCTCCCATATCCCAATTGCCACAGCGAGTCCACTGAACAATGCTTTGGATTCGACGTCAAAATTGCGTTAGCGTGGAACATGTGTTGCAGAGGCTTAAAGTGTGTTCTGAGGCCAATATCAACGCGAGGATTGCTTCTGTCTCAATATCTCAAAAACGAAGATTTCGTCTAACAAGAGGTTTACCATGGAAGCTCCGGAAAGTCCATCTCCTAAACGGTAGGGCACTAGTACATTTTCACACCTTGAATAAGAGATCTCAGTGCCATCTTGCAATCCGATTGAACTTGGTTTTGTGCCACCACTTCGTCCCCAAATAATGGCTATGGGAATAGGTTCTGGTTGAGTAGGGTACTGATTAAATGGCCCATCAGTTCACCTCTATGAAGACTCAGGATTTCTAGATCAAGTTACATGGCCATTGTCCTATTCTGCGGATGCGCAGTGAAGGCACAAGATGACAGTCTAGCGAAATCCCGTGACAGAAACCATGTTGCCACAAGAGATGTGATCCAAAGGCACTCAAACAGAAAGTCGAAAATGTATTTTAAAAGCAAAATTATGACCGCGACTCAAGTCTGCGACTTGGACGAACTTGAAAAGTCCCATGTCGTCAATATATACATTATACACCATTCCGTCATGTCACCCTTGTCTATAGCCAGCCAGCCAATCTGCAGATGCTTAGCCGTTAGTAAAATAGGAACTTATATTTGCTTAAAATACTTGGTAGTTCCCGAGGCCCGATGTCGAGAAGGAAAGTGGCATTCTGATGGGCCTGCATACTAGTCCAGCATAAAGAACTCTGAATGCCCTTCAAGAGAATCTAATAGCACTGTTGAGACGGATGATGGTTGAGAGCAAGGAGCGAGAATAATAACATATTATTCTAGACTCGTAACGTCTAGAATATATACGAAAGGATTTACTTCGTATGAAAATATGCGT